CCGTCCACCATCACCGTCATCGTCCATCACCATCGTCGTCCACCACCACCGCCTCCACCACCACCACCGTCAACGTCCACCACCACCCTTCACCACCACCCTCCACCACCACCATAATCGTCCATACACCACCACCGTACACTACCACATTAATTTATATAACAGTCTACAGACATTAAAAAACAAACAGTCTTCTTCTTGCAGACCGCAGACCTTCGGTCCACCACTTCTCCTGCAGATGTCTCTAGTGGTCCGGAGACTGCAAACCTTTTACTGCACAAAAAACAAACACCCCTCACTGTTTGCCTCCACCGCGTTCTCAATCTCGCTTTCTCTTGTTTGGTCAATCGAATTACCTGACAATCTTTGTCTTCTTCCTCCTCCATGTCCGAGTCCTCGTCATCAGAGACCATCTCAATTTCATCAGCGCTGTCCTTCTTTCTAATTGTCTCCCCTGTGAGAGCTTGGCTATAAGAAATTGCTCCGCCGCCCCTCTTGTCGGCGTTTGGGTCCAAACCCTCGCCATCAACACTCGTGTTCTGATTAAAAGGTGGCAGATCCTCCATATTTTTCGATTTCTTGGTACTCCTCTCCAATAGATCTTGATCTTCAGCCGTGCGCAGAGCGGTGGCCGCGGCGTTTAGGGATTCCGGCGTGAGGTTGTTCGAGCCCATCTCAATATAGCCTTAGTTACAATATAGTCTCAACATTTGATCCTGGCCTAGCCTCCTTTCTCCGTTTCAGCTCGTCCATTCTCTCAGTTTAGACTGTTTTCTCTGTCATTTACGCCCGTGTTTCAGTCATTTCTAGGGTTCTTCGCCCCTGGATAGTACCAGGACCCTTGTGCCCCGGCCCTCGATCATACTCCATTTTCAACCAAATCTATAATATTTAAAGCAGACAAAGTTGGGTGATGGTTGGATTCATTTGCGTTATTCTAACAGTTTTTTGAATTTATGCCGGGTGCCCGGGTGTGATGAGAAATACGAATTTGTTGCTTTGATGCGGTAGTAATCAAAGGAGCGAGTCGAAGAAGAATGGCAGGGCAGAATCCAAGTACGGAGCAATTTGAAGTCTACTTCCAGAGAGCAGATCTGGATCGGGATGGTAGGATCAGTGGAGCTGAAGCTGTTGCTTTTCTCCAAGGCTCCAATCTACCGAAACAGGTTCTAGCTCAGGTGATCTCAAATTCACTTCACGTCAATAGTTTAATCATTGTGGTGATCTTCCTCATTTTGATGAAACTGTAAGGTCTAACCTCCTCATGAAGGCTTAGTTGCTCGTCACTCTTTATCTTTATTTGTGTAGCTTGAGTTTCCAATTTGGAAGAGTCTATTCATACATGAATTAAAGTCCGTTTGGCATTAGTTTAGCTATCATTTTTCAAGAAAGCTATCTAACGTTTGAGTTAGAGTCGGTTTGGAATTACCTTACTATAGTAATAATGGGAGAGTTAAAATAGAGTCAAATACCATACTAGTGATTAAGAGGGAAAGTGAAGAGGGTCCTTGTCTAAATATGGAGCAAATAAGTGAAAATGATGCATTTGGCCCATGAACTATTAGAGATGATCTAGTTTTACACCTCTAATCAAAACCAATGCCAGGAGCTTATGATGGACTTCCTGTACTTCTTAATATTTTTTTACTTGTCCAGATTTAGCTGCCCACTTTTTAAAATATGTCATTTTCTAGGAATGAGTGTAAAATATGAAATAAGTTCTTGAAGAGTTGAAGTGATTCAATAATGGCAACAATGCTCGTATGCTATCTCTACCGTATATTAGATAATTCATCATAATTTCTTTTTTTAATAGGAAAAGTTGACAATTAATTGTGGACAAACAAAAACAAGAAAGTGGAAAACTAAATTTGGATGAAGGGAGTATTTGTTACTGGCAAGGCGTGGAAGTTCAAGGATGTCTTAGTTGGACTATTAAGGGTTCCGTGTGTACAACTGGTTTACCTTTTTATTACTTTGATCATGAATATCCATTGATTCCATTCCTTGGGATTTTTATAGGTTAAAATGTTAAATTTTCCTTAGTACTTATGACTAAGGAGAAATCAAAGATACCATCTTCATGCACAATTTTCTATTCTAATTTCTAATCATGCAATATAAGATATTCTAATTTTTAAAAAATAACAATTATGTAATCTCCTTGGTTGTAGGTATGGATGCATGCTGATCAGAGCCATAGTGGCTTTCTGAGTCGTGGGGAGTTTTATAATGCTCTGAAATTAGTGACAGTGGCACAAAGCAAGCGAGACTTAACACCAGACATAGTCAAGGCGGCATTGTATGGTCCTGCTTCATCTAAAATTCCAGCTCCACAAATAAATGTTGCAGCTATACCTGCACCACAATCAAATTCTGTTGGTGCTGCACCTACACCTCATTCAACTTCTGCTGGTGCTACATCTGTTCAACATATGAGAATGGTTGGACCTCAGATGGGTCCTGTTACGCCGACTGCCTCTCAACACTTTGGGTTTAGAGGGCAGGCACCACATAATCAGCAGTACCTCCTATCTCACGGTAGCCATCCAATGAGACCTCATCTCACTGCAACTTCCGCTGGTATGCTGCAACCTCAGCATGGTGTTGCCACTGTAGATTTCCCCAAGGGTGGCGGTGCAGTCACTTCTGCCCCTGTTACCCCGCATGGTGTTTCTTCTGGGATCACAAGGGAATCACCTACACCTACACCTGATAGAGGGATTAGTCCACCAACAACTGCTCTAGTTGCATCAAGATCCCTGGACTCACTGTCAGCTTCTATNGCATGCTTCAGACTCAATGTTCGGAGGAGAAACCTTTTCCGCATCTAAAAATCTACAGAGGCAGGGGTCTGATCCTACCATTTCAGCAAGTAGTGTACCTCCTTCCACTACCCTGGCCCATGTTACTCCCAGGTCAATGTCTTCTGGTAAGGCTGACCCTTTTGAGGAATTGCAAAGAACTCTTACGAGGCCATCTACTGGCAGTCCGCAACAGTTAATTCAAACAACAAAGGACAGCCAACAACTTCCTGCCCAAACAGTAGCACCACTTCCATCGCCTGTAATTTCAGCAGGCACATTGAATTCTACTATAGAACAGATACATGCTTCTTGGCCAAAAATGACTCCGGCTGGTGTTAAGAAGTATGCAAAAGTGTTCATGGAAGTGGACACTGACAGAGATGGAAGAATCACAGGAGAACAGGCACGGAATTTGTTTTTGAGCTGGAGGTTGCCAAGAGGTATGGATTTTGCATGTTTGTTACTGTATGAACAGTTCCGCATGTCACAGCTTAATATAATCTTGTCTTACAATCGAACCAAAAGCAGTCCGGATTATTCAAGAATTGAAGTCTATTTGCTTTATAAAAAGAATATATTAATGAACTTCTTTGAAATTGATTCGCGGGGTTCAACCAATTTTCTTGATCGTGGAAGATTTTTAAAAAATTGGAATCCTTGCCCATGACCTTTTCCCACATTGTTTGTGAAGTTTTTCATTGCAATTTATCATGGAATAGAGACTGTGTTTTGTCTTTTGGATTGTCAAGTAAATCATAGATTTCTTGTGAACAACCTTCACTCTTAATATTTGTTTTCCAGGAAAAAATCGATCATTTGGTCTAGGTTTTTATGAATCTCATTTATCTATCAAACCATGCTCAGTTGCATAGCTCTATGTTTCCCAGAGGTCTTAAAGCAGGTCTGGGATTTGGCTGATCAAGATAATGATAGCATGCTATCTTTGATGGAGTTTTGCATTGCTCTCTATTTAATGGAGCGATACAGGGAAGGCCGTTCTATCCCATCAGCACTTCCAAATAGTGTATTGCGTGATGAGACTCTGATATCCTTGGCTGGTCCTACATCTCTATCTCATGGAACTGCTGGCTGGGGTGAAACACCTGGTATCAATTACCTGTTAAAGTAATCTCAAAATGATTTATCTTTCATGTGGTTGGTAACTTGTAATTTACATAATCTGTATGGATAATTATAGGTTTGAGGCCTCATCAAGTGTTGCCTGGTTCACAGCCTCACATGCATACTGGTCTAAGTCCTCAGAAGCAGGATGTGGCTCCTCAACCTCACGGATCATCACAATTCAATAAGCGAAACGTAAAATCTTTATCCATGCCGAACAATATTCCAAATCAGTTAACTAGTGGGGAGCAGAACTCATTTGAGTCAAAAGGGGGAGTGGAAGAAGATATGAAGGTATACTTCCTCTTGGGGAATGATGGGAAATCATCTGTATTATTGTCAACATGAAAGTCAGAAAACTTTATTCTTAACATTATTTTATAGGTGATAAGTTCACATTTCTTTTCAACAAAAATGCATACATAGTAGTTTTGTTACTTTGGTTAATGGAAGGTTGGGGATAAGGAGAAGGCGATTTTGGATTCCAGAGATAAACTCGAATACTATAGGACAAAAATGCAGGACCTTGTAAGTGTTCTCCTTGTGCAACTGTTTAAATTTCCATGTTGCATTTTTTGTCTTCTTCCTATATTCGTTTTACTCTTTAAACCAGTACTTGTTTTCCATATTAGGTTCTCTACAAGAGTAGATGTGATAACCGGCTCAATGAGATAATGGAAAGAGCTTTAGCTGATACACGAGAGGTATACTTTTGCAAGCATTGAGTATTGTGCGTTCATGTGTATATTTCCTTCTTTCTCCCTAGCCACATTTCTTTTTCCTTCTTATTCATAGTTCTTTCCCTACTTTAGGCTGAGTTGCTCCAAAAGAAATATGAAGAGAAGTACAAGCAAGTTGCAGAAGTTGCTTCTAAATTAACAATCGAAGAGGCTTCTTTTCGTCACATCCAGGTAACACACTGTAGTATTATACACACTAATTCAGTGTTTTGCAATTTTATTTTGAACTTGTTTTGATTTGGAGTTTACGTAGCTGGATCTTATTATTTTGAGACTTAGCGTATTAACTTATTAGTTGGGATGAATTATGACTTTATTTTAAAGTTAAGTTGTTATATAGAGGTAAATCTTAAACATTTTACGTACTAGCTATGGGGCTAAGATCTTTCTATCCGAGTTATGATTCATGGGTTACAATCTTCCACCCTCTTGTGATCCTAACTAGGATCTCATGTCTAACAACCTTGGTGTACATGTTCTGATAATGCGACGATGTTTGTGTTCTACAACACCATTGTGTTGATGTGTGTTGGGACACTTGATTGATGTAGTATACCACAAGATGCCATTAATGAAGCAATAGGATTAGAAAAATATTCCTTAGCATTGTCATTATGGGTCCGTTCAATAGCACTTATTTGAACTGAATTAAATGGTATTGAAATGAACTGAATTGATTGCAATATAATTTTGGACTACACAATACTGAACTAAATGACACTGAATTGAATAGTATTGAAATTCTGAAAGGTAGTGCTATTGAATGGCCTTTATGTGTGATTTAACAGGGAAGATCCAAATTGAGTATTAATTTAGAACAAAATTTAACAATACTGAACTGAATTACACTGAATTGAATAGTATTGAAATTTTGAAAGGTAGTGCTATTGAATGGTCTTTATGTGTGATTTAACAGGGAAGATCCAAATTGAGTATTAATTTAGAACAAAATTTAGAAAAGAATTCTTTCATTACAGATATCAAATGTAAAAAACATCAAATGAACAACATGAGTACATAGTTTGTAAGGCGTCGCCTAGGCGATAAGGCGTTTTCCCTTGGACGCCTAGCCTGCTCACCTTGCCCACAAAGCCTTAAGGCGTTCATGTGCTCGCCTAGGTGTTGCCTTACCTCGCCTTACGGTCGCCTCTCGCCATGAGTCTATGGATACAAATAATGATATCCATATGAATGACCTATTCAATGATTTTTTTTAGACTTGCATGTTTGGGTCATTAAACCAGTGGGGTGGAGGTGATCTTTTTATGAATTATGTTGTTATTTGTGGTCTTCTAAATGCTTGGGAACACTTCTTTCTTTTTTAGATTATGTGTAGGCTTTTATTTCTTATGTTGTGCCTTATATCTCTTTGTGGTTAAGTGGTTCTATTATGCATAAGTGTGTGTGTGTGTGCGCACACACATACACAGTCGCCTAGGCGATATGAAGGTACATTGGTGCCTTAACAACCTTGCATGAGTAATCATCAATGGAAGTATCAAAGTATCTAATATGTGAAATAGAAGTTTCTTGACTAGGACCTTTTGCATATTCAAAGAGATCCCTGAGATTGATGATGTATCCCTCTCTTGCCCGTGCAAAGTATCTGAGTAAGAACATTGGATCTTATAGTCAGTGACTAATTACAAAGATTTGTTTAATTTCTTCAATGATGATTTTATTAATTAGTATAACTCCTCTTTTTATACTACTCCCAAGCATCTTGGTGTGCAAGTAAATAGATTTCTTACGTAATACAATAATGCTATCGAGAATATTAGACCAAAATAAAATACTAACGATAACACAAAACTATCTTATACGAAACTGTTACTGCTTAATAATAATTTGAAACTATTACTTATATTACTAAATAATAATAATAATAATAGTAATAAATTAAATATTAAATCCTTGATTCATAACATTACTCCCTCCCTCCGAGTTGAGCTTGTGCGCAAGCTCTAGGGAGACGCTATCTTTGCTACCCATTTGATGGGCCTTCCTCTGCTCTAATATCATCAAAGACCACAATAAAATGTAACTGCTTTCCATAGTTTTCAACAGTCTTGATTTGTATCAAGAGCCTCAATTTTCTCACTAGGTCCTTGTCCAAGGCTAGCCTGAAACGATCCATGCAATGTTCTATAAAGAATATCTTGTTCTCTGTGTCTTCTTCCATCATTTCATCCATCCCAAGTTGGGCATCTTCCAAAAAAAGGAAATGAAACAATACCAATATGATCTTCGCAGGAGATTTTTTGTGGTGTGAAAAACTTCTCACTGATTACATCAGAAATCCCAAGGTAGGTTGGAAATTCTATCTTGGCGCATTGAGGTTGCACAACTCCCTCACACTTGCAAAGATTTCCCGTCTTGAAAATATTATTATCGTGGTATCTGTAGATCTCAAAGTTGTTCGATTCAAGCATGACCTGACCCCCAATGTCTTCCTTGACGATGTGCTATTGTGTAGGGTGGAATCAAACCCCCTCTTGACATTGGTGACCTTTGTTGCCAACAACTTGTAGTTCATCTGTAGGCCTACAGTTATGTAGCCCTACAATTATGTTGACAATGGTAGCGAGCTTGGTGGTGGCTGCCATGAATTCTTGATTTTGGGTGGCCAATTCGTTGAATTCAAAAAGTGCCACAGATTGTCTTGTTATTTCACCAAATTATCAGAGATCCGAAGAGATCCCTGAGATAGACTAATAATCCCTCTCTTGTCCGTGGCAAGAAGATGAAGAAATTCAGATCCTATAAATGGTGACTAATTAGTAAAACTTGTTTAATTTCTTCAAGGGTGATTTGATTAACCAATATAACCCCCCTGTTTAGGGAGTGTTTCTCTCTGCTGGTTCTTTTTGGCCTATTGTCCATAAGTAGTTTTAATTTAAAGTTGCTAATTGAAGTATTTTTTTGTAAAATGATTTTAATGAATGATGAGTCATTTTGGGATATTCATAAAAAGTTAGGGATAATATTGCAAATGAATTGGTCAAAACAAAGAAATAAAAAATTAGCTTGAAAATAAGTAGGTAAGACCTTATTTTGTTTGACTTATAAGCAGCTTATAAGTGAGCATATGAGCACATAAAATGGAAACACATCATCAACTGACTTATAAGTTAAAAACTTGTAAGTAGTTTTGACTTATAACCAGCTTTTAAGTACAGACAAACACCCACTTCTACTACTCCCAAGAGTTTTGGGCCTCTTGGCGAGCAAGTTAATAGAGTTCTAACCTAATACAATAGTACTATAAAGAATATTAACTAAAACAAAACACTAATGATAATAGGAATCTATCTAATAAAAAACTATTACTAATAATACGGAGTATTAATAATAATAGGATACTAATACTTATATTACTCTCTGTGACCAATATTTTTTTCTTTAGGTTTGATCCGACGCACATATTTATGCAAGATGAAAATGACATTGACTTTCCTAAAATGCCCTTTTAATGAGATAATTGGATGAGATGAAAGGGATGCCAGGTGGTGGATATGAGTTTGGCACGAAGAATATATTACAAGGTAGCACACAGTGACATGGATGTCTCCATCATGCATTCCCATCGGCTGAAAATGAAATAGCGACATGGGGCCGGAAACGAAATTGTGGCATCATTGCAGCCAAACTGAGTTTAACATTTAGCACATCTCTGGTTTTGAGATGTGGCTGGTTTGGGAGAGTTTGAATGAATCAGATTGGGTGAAAGTAGTAAGAGGCATAGAGATGGCTGATAATAGGGAGGGACACTGTGACTTGACTAAAAGACAAAAATGATTTTGAAGGAGAGGATGTGAGAGGCAAGGTGATGAATATGTATCTAGATAGTGAAGAAGGGTAGAGGTTGAGTTCTAAAAGGGCAGGAACAATGAGGGTGATAAAGATAGCAAGGGAAAATGTGTCTTTACACTATTTTTACTTCGCCATAAAAGGAAATGGGAAAAGAATTTATGGACAGATATAAAAAGAACAACAACAACAATCCAGTTGAATCCCATTTGGGGAGGGTGTGTGTACACAGACCTTACCCTTACTCAAAAGTAGAGATGTTGTTTCCAAAGAGACCCTCGGCTCAGCGTCGAAAGTTGCATTGATTGACCAATTGCTACTTTATTAATAAAAGAAGTGCAGATAATTTAGAGATCTATTTTTCTTTATTCCATCACACCCAAAGCCAAAAATTGGTGAATTTTTGGCTCCATCGAAGATGATGGAAGACATACATAAAAAGGAAGTGGATTGAAAATTATTGGACGGAGGGAGTACAAAATAATATGGAGTAATAATAATAATAATAGTAATAATAATAATAATAATAATAATGTAATAGTAATAATTAACACTAATTAAATATTAAATCCTAGATTCGTAACTTTACACCCTCTCTCTAGTTGGAACTTGTCCGCAATCTTGAGGGAGACCCAATCTTTACAACGTATTCTGTGCGTCTTTCTCTTCCCTAGAATCATTTACGACAAGAAGAATTGCTTTCCATAATCATCAATAGTCTATATATTGGTGTCACGGTCCCTTTCTAGGGGTGGCCTGAAATGTCAACACAAAGTCCTTAAAAGAATTTCTTGTTCCCGTGTCATCTAGGGGTGGCCTGAAATGTCAACACAAAGAACTCCGTCATGGTCGTTGCAGAAATCCCCCGGCTTGTGGATATTGTCTTCATGGCAACCGGAAATCTCAGACCTTCGATTCATGCTTGACACCCCCCCGGTCTTCTCCAATGGTGTGCTATCCCATAGCATGTAAACAAACCCCTTCCATAGTCGGTGTTGGTGACCTTTCCCCTAAGAAAGTTATAGCTCATCTCTAAGCCTGCAATTTATGGTTAGGGAGCTTGGCCTTGGTGGTAGTGGCTGCCATGAATTCCCCACCAGGTGGCCAATTTGTCGGATCCAAAAAGTGCCATGGATTGTCCGTGCTCTGTTACCAAAGTGTTAGAGATCCAAAGAGAATTAAGAGATCCCTGAGATAAGTGATGAATCCCTCTTTTGCTCGTAGCTGGAAGAGGATGAACTTCAGATCCTATATTTTGTGACTAATTAGAAATAATTCTTTAATTGCTTGAATGGTGATTGTACTAATTATACAACCCCTCTGGTGATACTACTCTCAGGTGTCTTGGCAAGCAATTTAGTGGAGTTCTAACCTAACACAATCATGCTATTAAGAATATTAACTAAAACAGAATACTAATGATAATTTGAAGCTATCTACTATGAAACAACAAAGATTAGTAGATATTTTAATACATGTTCATCATTGCTGAAACTATAAGTTTAATTTCTAAAATGATACTCCTTCCGTCCGGTGTTAAACTTCCCATTTGGACTTTTTCCCATTTTAAGAGGTGTTGACTTTGGAACGGAAATGTCTAAAATACCCTCCCCCCCAATTTTCCCTACTCACTACCACTGCCCCTTGCTTCCACCATTTCCGTCGTCAACCCCACCGCTACCGCCGACCCAACACCACCATCGACCCCCCACCATCGCCGCAACCCCCACCACCACCTCAGCCCCTAGATCTTCCCAGACCTTGCAGATGTAGAAAAACAAATAGGATTTCTGCTTGGGCTTCGCCACAACCTCCACAGCACCAGATTTCTTGCTAGGCTTAGCTTTTGTACTCTTCTTCATGTCAGAACGCCCTTGAGAGGGTAATAATGGCTGAAGGAGCGGTTTAACCATGGCAAGGAAACCACATCTACTCGTTGGAAGTGAAGATGAACAGTGTCACGTAGGTCAACTCCAGCGATTAAACTCTCAAATCGCTGAATCTGAGAAATTTAACTGGTAGAAAGGTGCACAACGAGGAGAAGATCAAGATTAAACAATCAATCTAATGTTTAATCGGAGAAAGAATTGTGAGTCAAGGCTTGGCAATGGCTACACATCACTGTAGAAAAAATTGCAACACTGTAAAGAAGGGCGAGAAAGAAAGGGGGAGAAGAAGAAGAAGAAGAAGAATGAACGGATCTGGAGGAACAGATGTGGAGAGAAAAAAAGAAGGGGAAGAATTGTAAGTTGGGAGAGAGGCGAGGAAACAAGGGAGGAGAGAGAAAGGGGGAGGGGAGAGATAGAGTGAAGAATGGTAAGTGGGGGTATTTTGGGTAGTTAGTGTATGACAAATTGAAATGGAAAGATTATTTCCGGATGGAGAAAAAAGGGAAATGGAAAGATTATTTCCGGACGAAGGGAGTATCATATCTAATATTGAAAAATATGGCTTTGAGGTATGATGGCATAAGGCAAAATGGCTCTTTCAAGTTTCAACTATTTGCGCTTCTCTAAATAGTGAAGTAGCAGTCAGTCAATGCAACTTTCGATGCTCATCATGGGTCATCTGGAAACATCCGCTCTATGTTTCAAAAATAGGGGTCAGGCATCTGACCCCCCTTATCCCGCAATGGGTGGGAGCCTTTGAGGCACTGGGGTAATGTGGGGTAATGTTACTGTTGTTGATAAATAATATAGTAAGTTCCATACGTCCCTAATTACATGTGGTTTTCCGTATCTAGTCCTTAATTCTAAGATATTACATAAATAGTCCCCAATTTTTAAAAACTATTCCATAAATGGTCCTTCATGGACTAGATATGGAAAAAATATTTTGACCTATTTGGCCTAATTTACTATTTATTGAATAGTTTTTAAAAATTGAGAACCATTTATGTAATATTTTAGAATTGTGAACTAAATATGGAATACCACCCGTAATTAAGGACCATTTATGGAATTTTCAATTCAATGTGGGAAGGAATTGGGAGGCGTTAGAAGATATTAGTTGTTAGAAACCGAAAGGAGTTGGAGCACACTAGAAGTTAAGAATTACAACCCAAGTGAAGAGAGCCTAGATCTAGTCCGGGATTAAGAAAGGAGATGTCTATATAAGCATTACATCTCCACGCCTCTTATTTTGCAACTCGGAAAAGTGTGCCTCGCTAAATATAGAGTAAAACATGAAAATTCCTTAAGGCTTTTTGGAGTGTTGATTGGAATTTTCAGGCGATCCGTGTGTCTGGACTTCATAAAGGTCGCACCAGTTCATGTTGCTCACATGCTTGGTGTTATCATCTGTCTTTTCCAGATCGTAAGGAACTCACGCTTCAAAGGTATATCTCAATAAACATGTTTCATGGTGAATCATTTGAGGCCTTGGTGGGAATTATATCCGGATATGTTTAAATTTTTATTCTCCACTGCGTTTCCCCGACCTTAATTCCCAACAATCCCTCCCCTTTATCAAAGTCCCTTTTGCCACCCCCCTTGCACCTTCTCACGGTGGAATCGATTCTTCTACTCTGCACATGCCCAAAGTCCAAACCACCTCAAAATAGATTGATGCATCTTATCCTCTATTGAAACGACCCTTACTCATATGCCGTCATTCCGAACTTCCCCCTAGTTTGTGTGCTCATCCACCTGTGCATACTCATCTCAGCCACCCACATTTTCTGCATGTAATCGTGCAGGTGTTCTTTACTGGGCCAAGACAGGGACCTATACAACACAGCCAGCGTAACCATGTTGGACCATCATGTAGTGCACACAGGAATTAAGGACCCAAAGTTACTCCCCCAAATCTAATTACAATAAATTTCAGCAATTGAATGAGCTTTTTCTTCAATTCATTTCCTGATTCCTCTCTGCAATTTAATAGTAGTATTCAGGCTAGTTTAAATATGCCTTGTTTTCCAGTAAGCGTTGCAAAGAATGCAAGGCTTTCATTTGGTAACATGTAGTTGCTCTAGAGTGTACATATTGTCAAACTCTCAGGTTTTTAGTCACTTATGGACCTATGAAAAGCTGGCATTTCATTTTTGAATAGAGATATGTCAATGAAAAGCTTATATTTTCTAGGAGCGGAAGCTTGAATTACAACATGCGATCATGAAGATGGAAGAAGGTGGCAGTGCAGATGGTATTCTTCAGGTTAGCACTCTTACTTCAAATGAAATATCTGGTGTTTACTTTTTAATCATGAATATATATGGAAACAGTTATCACATAGCGTGAATGCTTAATTATCTTTTTCTTGTCTAGGTTCGTGCTGATCGCATTCAATCTGATCTTGAGGAGCTTTTGAAGGCTTTGATGGAATTTTCCAAGCAACACAATGTAGCTATGAAGTCCTCTGCAATAATTGAACTCCCCCATGGTAAAAATGTGTTCTTATTTCCATTTCCTAGACTATCTTATTTATCAATTTTTTGTTGGGGGAATGGGGGGTTGGTATTATATCTGTTGTTTTCTTAGACTATGAATCTTGTGCCCTATAGGTGTAAGAAGGTTAGGTATTTCTATGCTTAGGTTATGGACAACCCTATCTATTGGAAATAGTCAATGTTTTTTTCTGCCACAATGCATGGTGTGACAGTCAGAAAAAATGCTCTTTGTTATTTGTTGCATGTTCTTTTGGGACTATGCTTGATCCTGCAGTTTTGTACATTTATGCTGTATTCTTTGTCTTGCTCTTCAACTAATCTCTTTAAGAAATCTTTATCAAGGTTGGGAGCCGGGTATTGCAGAAATATCTGCTGTTTGGGATGAAGATTGGGACAAATTTGAAGATGAAGGTGACAAAAGTTTTCCACAATACTTTATATACACATTATCTTCATGTCAATTGGTCTTGGATGCAGTTTAGTAAGACATAACAAAATAAAATTGAATGTAATAAATGCGTGTCTAATGTAAGTTTACTAAACATGCAATTGATAACATTGCATTGCATTGCATTCCGGCTTATCAAACATTATTTTGGCATTATGACCAATCAATCGGAACTCTTTAAAAGATGTTTATCATAGTTGTTGATACTATTGCTTTCAGGAGTTACTTTTGATATTGCTGTGCCTGCAAATACCAAATCAACATTGCATCCCATCCCCATAAATGATGGGACTAAAAGCCCCCCGGGGGGTAGCCCTGAGTTTCAAAGACCATTTCAAAGCATCTCCGAGGATCTCTCTGATGATCATATTCGAAAGAGTTTTGAAAAAGATGCTGAAACTAATCGGTTTGGACTATTTTCTATTCTTTTCTATTACTATTTCCATTTCTCTGATACTCTTATTTTGTTGCATAATTATCAAAGGAAAATGCCAATGCAATGGTTGAAAGAGAAAAATGGGAATTTCTTAATTGGAAAACGGAAAGTTACATTTTTGCAATGCACTAATGGATGATTCGAATTAAGATTTTTCCATTTTTTGGGTTTTAACTATTGCCTTAAGGGTGTGTTTTTAAATTATTTTCAATAATTTTTAAATTATTTAATATTTTTTTGGTATATTTTTTATATGTAAAAAATAAACTTTTTAATAATAATAATATATACTTCCTCTGTCTAGTGTGTTTGTCGAGTTTCACTTTTGCAATCAAACTTGACAAATTTTGATCATCAATTAAATAAATATTATATAGTACATTGTACAGAGTATATTTATAAAACACAATTATTTTATGGAAGTATTTTACAAGATAAATGCAATTAAATCATTTTTGTACTAATATGTAATGTAGTTTTTATTTAATTGATGATCAAAGTTCATGCAATTGCAGAAAGTGAAATTGGACAAACATACCGGGACAAAGCCCAGAGCTAGTAATAATTTTGTTCTATACAAATTTTTTAAATGGTAAAATTATAATTTAAATTCAATGAGTGACTCCTCTTTTATCGGCACTCTTTTATATCTTTCCCCCCTTATTTCTTTCCAACTAAACAAAACAATGGAAGTGAAATTTTCGCTCCACTTCTTTTCTCCCTATTTCTTTCCTTTGTCAAACACACTTAATTTCTTTTGTTTATTTTTTTCTTTCAAATATATTTTTATAGAATTAGGAAAGATTTATTTTATTTTATTTGATATTTTTAATTATAATAAAATTGTTATATAAAACATCCCAATAATAATGTAATGATTGTTTTCTATAAACTTTTTTAAAAGAGTAATTATAATTTTATTTCAATAATTATTATTTTTCCCCCTAACTTCCCTCCAACCAAAGAAGAGAAATTAACTTCTTTTTTTCAATTCCTTCCAAACAAACAACCCAATAGAAGTTCAACATCCACTCTATTTCTTCATTCTCCACTTCTTTCCTCTCCACATCCTTTGCCAAACCCACTGTAAGGGAAATTGTTACATTTCCCATTATGTAATTAGTGACATTGTCATTTGGACTTGTTTGTATTTGATTGCAAAAAAAAAAAAACAGAAGCTTCGAAGAATCTGCTTTAGATAACTTTGGCAATCATGATGATGTAGATCCAGTTTGGGGCTTCAGTGAGAAGGTGGGTGCACTTACCCATCCTTGACTTTAAGCTGCTGTGAATCTGTGATGAATGTGTGTGTTTTCCCTGTGAATATGTATATTGAGCTGCCATTTTGAGAATCACTAGATGTTTTCTTCAAGTGTTGATTTTATATTTTATGCATTTAATGTCATTGTTTCAAATGAATGAGAAAAAATTGATATGGTAAAAAACTGCCATCCTGAAATGCTTTTCTATCAGGCTACGAGCGAGCTGCCAGCATTGATCTTTTTGGTTCTCTGCCTGCATGTTTGAAAATCGAGAGCATATATTCTCTTCTATATTAATCCCTCCATTCCAAATTAATCTTCCCACTTTTCCTATTGGGATGTCGCAAAATAAGCTTCTCATTCCTTAAAAGGAATGGAATACGTGGTCCATATTGATTCATTCTCCTCTCCATAAATCACAACCAAACAATTATACGTTTCTTAAACTATGTAAAAAAAGCAAACAGGAAGATTAATTTGGGATGAAGTAATAAACTATAGTCGAATTGGCAATGCTCATATTTTTAATGCTCTAATTAATAATATTCTTCCTACAGGACTCTGATCATGATAATCATGGGGAAAACTATTTCTTTGGATCTGGGGGTTTTGGTGAAAGTCCATTGAGATCGGAATCCCCAGCTGTAGGGAAGAATAGCCTGTTCACCTTTGAGGATTCTGTTCCTGGGTCTCCACTCTCTAGAGCTGGAAATTCACCAAGATACAGTGTTGGGTCAGGGGATCCCTTTGAAACTTTCTCCAGGACTGATTCCTTCTCTACTCATCATGATCATAGCTCTTCTCCTAGGAGAGGAACTCTCACACGATTCGATTCCATCAACAGCAGTGTTGGCAATGATCGCAATCCAGGTTTCTCTTATGATGATTCCGACCCCTTTGGGTCTAGCAGTGCATTTAAGGTCTCAACAGCAAGTCAAACCCCTAAAAAAAGTTCTGAAAATTGGAATGCTTTCTAGTTTGTAAAACCTTGGGGTCTACACAAACCAAGTTCTACACGCATTCCACCATATATGTTGCTGATACCTGTTTGATTTCTCCGCCGCAGCATACATTCAATTTAAACATTCAGATGAGACTAATAGTGTGATAACTGTTAGTGGAGAGCATGTAATGTCATGCCATATAATTTTTTTGGCTTTCCCCTTCTCGGGAACATGTTTTGCTTACATGTTCGTGTGGCATAGACTTGTTACGGAATGCCTGAAACAGATTGTATGTCCTGCATATTTTAAGTGTATCTAAAATGTCTTTGTATTCAGAATATTTTCGTGCTACCGGAAAGTTCTTGTGCTATTCTAAAATGAACAGGTTATGTTTTGTTTAAAATCTATTGGAGGTGGACATTGGGATGGTGGGGAGAGATTAAAGCAGGAAATTAGCAATAAGCGTATGCACTGGTAAACAATTGACTTTTTTTATTTATAAAGGTAAATACGTGACCTAGAACTTGCATTAAAGACGAATTGTGAGGCTAAGTGTAGTAGGGTCTCCTACTGATTGGATAGTTCTGATTTGGCCGGTAAGAAGAAATATACGGAGAAATAGGTTCAAATTCTTGGATTAAGGGTTCGCCAAGCAATGTGAATGGACGATTACGCAGCTCCTGAAACAGCGATGGCTCATGAAGGAACAGGTCCAACTCTTGTCGGCTCTGCTGTAAAATTTGTAAACCCAGTGGTTCTGCCAAAAAAAATAATACGGAGTAATGAGGAAGTACCTCAACTCATAATGAAGGTAGGAATCAATTCCATTTTAATCCAAAGATTGAATTTCCTGCATTTGAAGGGGGGGAATCCATATGAAAGGACTAAGAAATGTAGGAGAAACTTCTCGGATTGTAAACTACTCCCTCCGTCCTAAATTATAATGCCTGTTACTATTCACAGGGTCAAACTTCATTCACTTTCTTTCTCTATTTTTGTTAGCAATTTGATAAAATAAAATATTCTTGTTACTACTAGTTTTGTAGATCTTTTGATTTAGTTTTTGAATATGTAATTTTTATTTTTTAATTCTATACCATTTGTCATATAAAATGGTTTGAAAATAATTTCAGTCAAACATCGTAAATCGAAACAGGCGTTATAAAATAGGAGGAGGTAGTACATAATTATGAAAAAGGTTGACCTGGCTACAATCCATTTGAAGGGTAGTCTACCGACAAGGGATAGTTACTATTGAATGTGATGAATTCATTGTGGATTAGTGTGCAACTAGTATTCGAACCTGTGCATTGCAAGGGATGGACATAAGTTTTATGTTAATATAGAGATTTTCTAGAAACAAATCATTTTCAGAAATTCTTGGGTATTTAATATTCATAAGTTATTGAGTTAACCAATAGTAATTCTTAAACACTAAAAAACATAGCTTTGAAACAATGATGTCAATTTTTGTCTTCAAGCTATTATCTTGATATAAAATTTATGTCCGCAGTTGAACATTGGAACTAAAATATACGTTTGGTAACACGAAAAGAGACTTATGTATAGCTAACCATGACTGGGATCTAAACTTTCATGGTTATAAATAGCATATAGTATGGGATAACTCCATATTAAATGTATGTATTTGTTAAATCTTTTCTTTTATTTGATTTGACATAAAAATTTCCTTGAGCCAGACATTTCTTTTTTCGATTCTCGAAAATATAAAGCATGCATTTTTAAGTTTTTGCTTTTTTCATTTTTCAATAAAGAGTAGTGATGAAGCATGTGGTATTATGGCTGCACATCCAATTTATGGCACATCATCACCAAAAAATTGATCCATCTTCAGCAGCCCAAATGCAGTGACCCGACCCAAACAAATGGACGGAAACACTGTTCATTTATGCCTCATACCTTTGTATAGACTAGATCCGCACCCATGCATTGCACGACTAGTAATTTAGATGAGTATAACAGTTATAGTGATTTTGTAAAAGAAAAAAATGCTGTATATTAGTGAAAGTACTTGATTCGTATGTAAATATTTAGAGGATAACAAAATAAGCATAAAAACCAATGGATAGTTTCTCTCTCTGACCATGGGAAAGCCACCAAAAACGACCGAAAAAGATGCTGGAGAGAAAGACTTTGAAACAGATTTATCATCGTGCTCTAAGGAGTATCCTTCCATACCTGACGGTACTGAATTAGGAAATCAGGCTGATGATCAATCGATTTTGGAGAAGACTCTTTCTGTGGAGATCAGATATGATGAAGTGCATAGGAAAAGCTTTGCTGAGGTGGTTAGAATTCAGGAGGATTTTAGATTTGACCTAACATATGTTCCAGTGGAAGAAATTGAGGGGGGACATGTTGTTTGCCTTTTTGAGGAAGATGTGATTTACCCAAGTAATTACTAGGACTCAGCCCTTGTTTGTTACATACTGGGAGCTAATCCCCCAATTGAAATTGCTAAGGGATTTCTATCTAGAATATGGAAGACTTATAGTATTGAGGATATATCATTCCTGACTGTTCATAGTTAGGTTTGGGAAAGTGGAAGACGGGGATGAAGCGATTAAGAGATCGTACTACTTTATGGACAATAAACCTGTATACGTGGAGAAATGGTATCGTGGTTGTAGGATGAATATTCATGAACGTAAGGATATACCTGTATTGGTGCAGTTTCCTAAACTGGAGATGAAGTATTTGAGTCTCTTAGGGTTAAGTAAGCTTGGAAGTGCAATTGGTAAACTTGTGAAGAGGGACAAAAACTGCCTCAAGAGCCAAATGGTCTTATGCTCGTATTCAGGTGGAGGTTCAAATAAATCAGACTTTCCTTGACTGGTGGTCCCAAAGTGGTGAGATACACAGTCTAGAGGGGGGGGGGGTGAATAGACTTTGTTGTAAATTAAAAACTTTTTCGTTTCTTTTTGAAAATATGAAAATGAGTGTGTGATCTAAAGTTCTTGTGAACCTTAGATTAAGTGTGGAAGTCGGTGGGTAATTGAGCAGTAACCAATATGGATGAGTTAGTTTTCACAGTTAATATAGTAGCAAGTATGAGTAAAGATAAAAGAGAGAGACACGCAAACTTTAACGAGGTTCGAAGGTGGGGTAATCCTTCTACGTCCTCAAAATCCACTATGTAGTTGGTTGTTGAATAATGAACCAACAATTACACTTGTGTGAATTTCTGCACGGTATATCTTCGCAAGGCCAATGTTGCTACTGCACTCGTGCTGGCTTTGTTGTTCCTTCGAAGGTCACGCTTCTTCAACAACTGCAAGATCCGAACAATAGGACTTGCAAGATCAACTTGTAAGAAAGTTGATGTACCCCCTTTT